ACACACACACACACACACACACACACACACACACACACACACACACACACACTGATACTGTGCCTGCATTAGGCTGGAGCCACTCTTTGGGGGTTATGGCTCAAAAACACTCCTATTACCAACTGCTCCTGATGTTACTTCAGCTCCTGGTACTTGACTTTTTTCCAGTGCTTCTTCATTCTGATGTTGCTGTGTAATGTCTGCTGGGTTGTCACATCTATTGCAAATTCTATCTTCTGCTCCTTGTCAGCTGCCACTGTGTTTGACTGGTTTGCCAGCAGCTCCTCTTCTGTCTGGGGTCCCACAGGATCTTAGCCCCGCTGTTCTCAACCATCTTTGGTGGTGTCTCCTATCAGGAATTGGGGATATCCTAATCCACATGTGCCGCAGATGTTCCGGTGCACTTTTGCATCCACTTGATTGTTCCTCCCAGTGAACGCTGAGAGGCAGATTACATCCTACTACTATTTGCTGAATACTCTCTGTGGCACCTTTGCACAGCCTGAACTTGGGTCTGTCAGCTGTGGTAATTCAATTCAATTTCATTTATTTAGCACCAAATTACAACAACAGTTGCCTCCATGCACTTAGAGACAGACTGTAGGCAGACTCCTGCCTCTCTGGATCTGGTGCTTGGGGCCTGTTCTCATGCTGCCATGATCAGGGCCTCTGCACTTCCCACTTCTATTTCACATCACAATTTGTCTTCAGCTGTGTGATGTACACTTTGAGCAGCTTATCTTGGGGGGAGATTTTATTCCTATTGTTTGAGCTTCCTTCTTGGCATCTATCTTAGCTTTTGTGGGTATTTGGCTATGGCTGACCGTCCATCTTCATCATGCTTCCCATTGGTCTGTGGGACACTCAGCTACTTATAACTGTTCTCTTTGTCCACTATCCTGCCTTCTGGTATCTCCATATATTCAGTCCAGATCACTTTCCCTATATTTGCAACCATTTGGCCAATGCTCATGGATCAGTGAGTTGATGTCTTGCCCACTCCCGGCATACAGTTTGATGTCATCCATATACAGAAGGCAGGTGATGGTCACTCCAATCCTGAATCTATTTCCATATGAATGTCAGTCCCTGTACTTTGACCCTCTGGACTGTGGGAGGAAGCTGGAGTACCAGAGAGAACTCATGGAAACTTCACACAGAAAGGTAGAGATGGTAGAGTGAAAGTCAGGAGCTTTTTGCTGTGAGGCAACAGTACTAACCACCGGGCCACCATACTGTACACCCTGAAGGTGAGCGGTGGAGCAGATAGAGAAAGCCTCCAACTACGCCAACAAGGTGCTTCTCTTCTCATGGAAGAGAAGGAGCCGGTCTCACGTCTAAGAACAATCAAACCCTACTTCCTGATGGACCTGATGGCATCGCTCATCCAGGACCGGAGGCAGTCCTGGAGCTGGCTCTTAGGATGAGCACGGCCAACACAGACCCTTTCAAAGATAACCTACTTGAAATCTATCTATAGATAGAACTATAAAATAAAATAATTTCTTCTCAGAGACCAATACAATTCATTTCAAGCTCAATTAATCTGTCAAGCGCCAACAATACAATAAAGCCATTACTGTCCAGTGAAGGGATAACATTCTTGTGTCCATGAAGTTTGTTACATTACTAACGCTCAGTGCTTTGTTTGCCTGTTAGCATGAAACATACCAGCGTATGGTGTTCGTTACGTTCCTTGATGGCATTTTCCAGAATTTTATGGATTAGTAAAGAAAACTTTACAGTCTGAGCCACCATCAGCCATCCTATACATGTAATTGTTAATTGACAGCAGAGTGTTATCATGTCTGAAATGGGACAGTTGGGGGAGGGCAGAGTTTTTGACAGCTCCACAAGGATAACGAGATGTAAGGAATCTGATAAAGCAGATGGCTTGAACGCAACCTCACACACGCTTTGTGGAGATGCTCACAGTTTGTTACTGCTGCAGAGTGGCTCTCTTTAAATGCCTTTATCTACTTCAACGGGTAACAGCTGCCAAGACAGTCGCCCACAGCCGGAGAAAGGCTATGTGTGTGCGTGCCTTACTAATACAAGCTGTTCCAAATAACCACAGAGGAAATTTTTTTAAATCTATTTTTATGTGCGTGTCTAGAGGTGCACGTCGTGCACAGGGTCGTACCTGGTGAACTTCATGCCAGCCGTTCTCGTCTTGGCAACACACAGAAGCGTGGTGGTTCAGTAGAAGCTCGCAGCAGCCTGGGTCCCCACCCACCACCACACTGTGATACAGGGGAGTCAGACCCCGGCTGTCCTTGTAGTCTGGAGAAGCTCCCAATTCTAGCAGCGTCTAAGGATGGACAGGTAAGAAAGTTAGACAGGTAGCTGCTACATTAGTATAAAGCAGATAAGCTGTGATTCTTTCTTTGCAAAGAGCTTGCAAACCTGCACACGTGCTGTGTGCAAATGTGAGTGATATTTCAGTTCACCTAAAGTCACAGGAGTCACTAAAACAGTTTTCTGGAACCAAGTTTCTTTAACATTTACATAAATTTATAATCAAAATATTTTTACAGACTCAAAGCTGTTAAAAGCTGATATAAAAGCTGATGCATGTGCACATGACACACACACACACACACCATTATGAAACTGACTGTCCATTGTGAGATTTCAACGATAAAACACATTTTGTTTCTCTTGCAGAAGTCTTGTCTACACTCACCTATAGCCTTCACTTCACGAGTACAAGTACAGTTAGAGGCATCATCCCTTAATCAGCTCAACATGCTGTGAAATGACAGGTCTGCATGCATTAAGAATGCATGTCGGTTACGCTGCAGCAAAACATCTTCGAGCATGATCTATCAGCTGTCAGACTTTCATTGGGCTTCTAACACAAAGAAAGCCAACAATGCACAAGTAAGCAAGTGCTAAACAAATGAAAGGAGAGGAGCCTTCACCGTGAGTATAATCTGGTTCTTCGACCTTGCAGCTTTGTGAAGAGCAGTCATGCCATCTTTTGCCCTGAAGTCCAAATGAGCTCCTCCATTCTTCAGCACCTTTATGATCTCCCCCGCATTGTCCAGGTGAGCTGCAAATGTCAATGGGCTCTCTAGAAAAACAAGAAATAACAACAACAAATAAATATTTTAATGACTGAAATTCTGTCTGGAAAGAAGAGAGAGTGAAGAAAAAGAAAGTGCAGACTGAAAACTCAAGGGACAGCATGTGTGCTATCATTCAAACCACATTTTAAGATTTGCTTTTACTTTAACACTTTAGGACACCTGAGTAAATTAGCACTTGTTAAGTGGTATAAGCAGGCATTGTAAAGTGAAATCTGCTGCTGAAGAACCCAATGAAAGTCATGAACCAAAATGCACTGATCAAATAATATTCTTCTTCTGTATACTCTGCACTTGGTTTCAGGCAGGTTTTTCCACTTATGGTTTTGATGATGAAGAATTGGAATCAGAATAGGCTGTATCCGGTCTTTACGTCTGACGTCATTAGCCCTTTCTGGGTCCAAACTCCACGTCAGGTCAAACAAACACTGCAGCATCACTCAGAGTTAAAAACTGTCTAAATTCTTTCATCTTTAATAAAATGATCAGCGTTGCTGCTTTACCAGGTG